AAACTTGCTTTAAGCAAATAGTTACTTAATATTGATTTTAAAAAAGTTCTAGTTCCATTTGCTGATTATTTCACTTATACCAAGACATGTTTCCCATGTTATATTTTCATTTATCTGCCAGTTGAACAAGAACTTTTTCATCAATATTAAGGAATTATTTACTTTAAATGAGCTCCTATATCTTGCTGAAAAGTTACTTTTAAGTTAGTTTGTCTTCCTTCAAGTGAACTAAGATATTTGCACTAGAAATTAGACCAAAATACTTGGTAAGGTTTTGTGTTTTTGCAGTGTTGGAGTCTCCCAGTGACACACTCAAGTGTGAAGATGTCAGAGAGAAAAGTAATAAAAGACAAACCAGCTTAGCCTGCTGCAACCTGCCAGTCTGTGTGTTGCAGTTAATTATTTTCTGCTCTGCTTTGTCTCCTCTGAAGCCAAATATCTTTTTCCTTTTTTGCAGATTTGAAGCCATCTGCACCTTTGACACACGTCAATCTGTCTTGGTGGCATCGGCAATACAGCGGCGCTCTAAATACAAAGACAAATCCGGGGCAAAACACACCTACACATGCTTATACAAGATAAATGTTGTACTTGGATATCAGCAGACGAGTCATAATGATGATGGAAATTTGATGGCCTGCCAGACGCTCTCGATCCGCGCTATCCGTCTTTCACGATAAGATCTCTGCTAATAAATAGTGACAGGATGGCAGTTATATGTGAGCGAGTTGAAACTTGACGAACGGTGAGGTTAGCGCTCCAAACAATCAATTTAACCACAGAAGAACCAATAGGTGAACCAATGCAGATTTGAATCACACCCAGAATAAATCACAGCCAAAGGCAGAAAAACAGAACAGCACATTCAAAGAAACATGTTGGTTCATAATGTCTCTGACTTTTTAAACTTAAATGATTAACTCTCATTGTAAAGAAAAAATGGTCACATCAATGAAGAATCAACTAAAGAGGAAACGTGTCACACATTTCACCTAAATAATGTCAGAATAGCACTACTTATTTTATTCAAGTAAAAGTAAAATATAGCCGTCCAACAAAAGTACTTAAAAACATTCTCAAGTACCGAGTAACCGATCAAATTTTTAATAATTTCATATTTAAAAATTACTTCATCAGAACAAAATATAAAGTTAAGTGGAGAAAGTACAGCTTGGTAAAAATACTCCTAAAGTACTTTTTCAAAAAGTCACTTTAGTAAATGTAACTGAGTCCATGTAACTCAGGCCACCTCATTTATCTTAACCTGTCTGTGACACAATCTACACTGTAAAAACACAAAACCTTATCAAGTAATTTTATCTATTTTATTGTTTGTTTTTTTTATATAAAGCAATTTGAACTGCCTTGTTGCTGAATGCTATACAAATAAACTTGACTGATTATTTTAAGTCAACAAATACTTAATATTGCTAATAAGAAGTACTAGTTCCTTTGGCACATTATTTCACGTATGAGAAAAATTTATTATTATAAGTGGAATAATCTGCCTCTAATACTTTTAAAAATGAATATTAAGTAATCATCGACTTAAAACAAGCTCCTATTTTGTGCTAAAAGTTGTTTTTTGTCTTATTTCAAGTCTTTTAAGATATTAAAACTTGAAAATTGACCAAAAAATAAATCCTTTGTAAGATTTTATGTTTTTGCAGTGTATCTAAAAACCGAAAAGCCTGCTAGTATAACTGTGGCCTCGTGTTGTTATTATTGCAGATGACAGAAACTGTGGTTTAACTGGAATGTGGGGGAACAAATATAAATGTGTTCAAGATGTCGGCGTTCTCAGAGGAATCTCAGTTAAAACGGCCGTCAGCGAGACGCTTTATCTCTCATTGCTCCAGCTGGTGTGCCCTGATACTGGCTTTAGTTTACATGAGGAGGATGCCAACTGTGAAAACAGTCTGTCGTCAACATTAAATGAGTCCCAAGCAACCAGCGCAGATATAAGCCAAACCACCGTTGCTAAGCTTCCATCAACCGATACTCCGGATCACTTTATAAACCCAGAAGCAATTAGAAACAGCGGACATTCATATGGCTCATATGCAAGAGTGGTGTCATTAAACAAGTCCTTTGGATAAGGATATGAACGTAATAAAGATAAATCACAATCATTTGTGTTTTCTGAGCAAGGTTTTTAATAACTTATGTGTTTATAGCTCAAACATCAATAAAGCTCTGATCAGCAACATGTCCGTCGTCGTCTGTGTACGTTGAAGGCTGAACGCCGTGGCGATGATGAATACGTTTTATAGCTCCACCATCAATCATGCATCTGAGCCAGGGTCAAACTAATTAAGAGCTCTGATTTTATTAGACTGGAGAAGAGGATGGATAGGATGAAGCAATGAAATCGCATCTGCCTACTGCTTCTTTGTTTATTTATTTTCCTTTGAGCAGCACTGCAAAAACACGAAATCTTACCAAGTAATTTTGGTCTAGGTTCTAGTGCACTTTAAAAAAGACAAATCTAACTCAGAAGTAACTTTCAGCAAGATATAGAGACTTGTTTTAAGTAAATAATTCCTTAATACTGATGAAAAAGTATTAGTTTCACTGGAAGATAACTTGTTAAAAGTGAAATAACCAGCCAATTGAACCAGTAATTTTTCACCAATATTAAGGAGTTATTGACTTAAAGCAAGCCTTTATAACTTGCTACAAAGTTACTTGCAAGTTAATTTTGTCTTATTTCAATCATACTAAGATATTTGCATTAAAAACCAGACCAAAGGTACTTGGTAAGATTTTGTGTTTTGCCATTCTAGCCAAAATGTAATAGGGACATTTTTAAAAATGTATTAACTCAATAAAAGTAATGCACACACACAAAAAGACATACTATTATAATAGTATACTATTTTCAGGATTAAATTTGGAAATCCATCTCAGTATTTTTTCTTGGAGCTTTCATTTCCTCATATTGTGTATAAATTTGCTTGAAGTTTTTTATTTTTCCAATTATCTGATGTTGGAATTGGGACCAGGCTTTTCCAAATAAAAGCCTCAATATATCTTAGTTACCATCAGCTTTTTAAGCTAAAAATTTAACTTTTCAGCAACATACAGTCACTTATTTTCAACTTATACCAAAACATTTCTTCCTATATTATACGTGAAATAATCTGCCAGAAGGACAAGTACATTTTTAATATTAAGGAATGTTTTGCTTAAAAGAAGCTAATTCTTGCTGAAAAGCTCTTTGTAAGCTAGTTTGTCTTATTTCAAGTGTACAAAGATATTTGCAGTAGAAAGTAGAAAAAATTATTTGCTAAGATTTAGTGAATAATGAAAAAATATATATTTCTTTTGCACACAGACGTTCATACACAGGTGACCTTTGACCCACATAAAGTGATATAACAGACAAAGGCTTTTGTGAACAGTTTGTATTTGGTCCTTTTCGCACTCTTCGAACTGTGAAGGTCAAACCTGATGCACCGCCGAGAAGCAGGCAACAAGCAGCAAAATGCATTCAGTTTTTGTTTTTCCCTCCAAGTTTGATCAACTGCAACTGCACAGTTTATTCAAGACAAAGCTCTAGTTTGTTTTTTAATAATGAAAAGTGATGATTAGTGCCACGGCAGGGCAGCAGGACTGAGTGCGGTGCAGCAGCAGGAATCACATTTAGGTCACTGGTTTAGTTTTCATCGTCGTCGTGGTTTTCAGAAAGACGTGCAGAGCTAGCAGGTTGCTTGCACCTGCTTCCTGGAACAGAAAATCACAAACATGACTGCACTGGAGGAGCTGGCTCACTCGGATGTAGTAATTTATTTATTTAACTTTTTTACCATGACATAGCTCAGCTTAATCCCAGCACTTTGCTGTTGGAAAAGAACAGAAAGTCTTTTCTGTACAACTGATTATGAGTGGTGTTGCTCCAACTTTTGCAGAATTATTAATATCTGTCATAAAGTAGTAACTTGTTACAAAATACTTTCTTTTACTATCACTTACTTATAATCAATTACACCTAAAATGCAGAATAGTCATCATTCCATCAGCCTAATGATACAAAAGTGCTTTATATGCCTAAAAAAATACTGTATATGAAAATAAATCTTTTATATTCAAACATAACCTTTCAAATATGAAATTGGTGAAGCCTTTTTTGTTTTTTACCACAATCTAAATACAACACTCCTGTGCACATGTACATTTTTACACTCAAACTGAGAATGATGGCAGAGTGTTCACAGGCTGATACCCAATTATATTTGTTCTGATGATGTTTTATCTGGCAGATAAATCATAAATAAAGTGTATCAACTGAGATAACTGCACATATTTTGGTGAATATATATTCAGTGCTAGGCTTTCTCTTAATCTGCCCAGGCAGATTAGATTAGAAACAGTTGACCCATTGCAGCGCAAGACCTCGCCCTATCTCCCTGCTGGAGGGCAAAAAGCTGCTGGCTAGCATTGGTTTTAGCTGTTATCAGTATAATATGCTAAAACTTAACTGTGCGCCTGATATATAAAATTAAAAGGGATGCAGAATGACAGCTGAATAACAAGGTCAGGAGAAAGTTTTAAATACAAAAAGTAGTGAGGGAGAGGGAAGTAGTTCAGCTATGCTAGCTTGACTATGACAATCGTAACATGTAGATGTGCTGTGGAATTCTCTGTGTTACGGTTCAGTTAAAAAGTTTTAAAAAGCGACTTAAACACAAACTCTGACAGATCATCAGTAGAGCGGGTGTTTAAATTAGCGAATCAACCACCGCTGCGTTAGCTTAGTTATTAGCTAATCTAACACAGCAATCACTTTTTAATAATAGCAAAATAAATATCAAGCCTGAAAGCATGAAACTGTAACGGACTTAATGTTCTTTGTGTGGGAAATGTTTGTCTTTGTTGGTGTTGAATCTAAACGTATAGTGTTGTCGTTTCCGGTTGCTATGGCAACGAGAAAGTGTAGCTGTAATACAAAGACCAAAAAAAAAAAAAAAGTGGTTTTGAGTTGTTCTTCAATGGGTTTCCAGCATTATTCTTCCCTTTGCAGTGGCGCATAGCACTAAATTAATAATACTTAAATCTCCAGGTTTCATTTTGTCAACAGAGTCGTTCTGCTGCTGCAACGCGGCTATGGATAGCAAGTAAAAAAATCATCCTTTTGCCTTCCTGCCTTGTGCATATGCGCGAAATTTCGGGACGTAAACAATAACATGCAAGGGGTCCATGGCATTGGAAATGCTTTCAACCAATGAGCTTTAAAGTTCGCCTTACTGGCCAGCTAGCTGCTTCTCCATCGGTCGCAAACTGGAATTACAGAAATAAATTTGCTTAATGAAAACAAGAGAATTTCAACAAAACTCATGATAAAAAGTTTCTGCACTAGAATGTGGTGGTTTTTCAACTGTATTTTGCAAAATCACCACATTGCTAATTCATGTATCTGACCAAATTAACTAGTAAAATTATAATGTCACCAAATTCCTCAATAAAAACCTGGACCTGGATGTTTCTTATTGGCTTAAGAAATCCAAACACTGCAGGGCATGATGACAAAATGTCCAAAATGATACCTTTTGCAGTCAGATTATCACAAAGTCTTCCTATGGAGATAAACCCTGCAAGGCGAGACCAGTGTGCACAGACTGGCAAGCAGCAGAAGCATCAGATAAGTTTGTTTAGCCTTTTAAGAAAGAACCTCCCTGCATGCACCATCCTCACTTTGACAAATATTACATATTTGCAGGAGTTTTGCTGTAGTGGTAACAAAAAGGTAAACGTAAATTAATTTCTTGACCATACTGAAATAAGAAAACTCATTACCATCCTAGCATTTTACCATTTTGTTCCACAATAAACTCAATGTACACATCAGGCTATGATCTACTGAACCTCTCAATATAAATATATAATTTATATATACTTGTATTTACATCTTCTCCAAAAAACGTCAGTAATGCTGTGCGAACTATCCTATCACCATTAAACACAAACACAGGTAGGTCAGTTACAGGTAATAGTAAAAAAGGTGTTCTTTGCACCAGCAGCTTGTTCCACCAATCAGAACAGTTCGGCTGAACCGTCACGAATCCAACATGGCGGCACGCGGTCCTCCTTCAACCTTCACTGGCTTCGTTGTCAGCGGCGTTCCCATGGCGACAGCATCAGGAGCAGAGGAATAATTAACCCAGTCAGGGGTTCAAAGGTCATCGAATGGGCTGAGCCGTGAACAGCCACCTAAAAAAAATAAAATAAAGACACAAGTAAGGTGGAATAATGTCATGCAATAACATTTTAAAGATACATCTCAATAAATCGGTGTTACTATTACCGTTATGAGTAGATTATAAATTATATAACAGATTAAGAACAATTTATAGGTGTGCATTGGAAAGGAGTTGGTAATTATTCTGATGCTGTATGTCCGTCATTATTATTATTAATTATTATTATTATTATTATTATTATTATTATTATTATTATTATTCGTAGATTTTCTTAGATGTCTTGTTTTGAGAGTTAGTTTGTAAACATTTTGTCTGAGTAATATAATTTATTTGTTGGCTCTTTAGCCCAGTATATTGAAAATGCACATGAATATTATAAGATGGTTTTAATTACCAATTTTTGAATTAATTATTGAGTCAGTAAGTAATATATTTTATTAAACTGAGGAGTAAATAAGGATTAAATCAGAGTTCACTTCTTCCCACTATTATTTTGTTTTTGGTTCTGTATGTTTTCTCTGTCCTACTGACTGCTTGTTTTCATGTTTTAAAAAACTTGTTTGAAATAAATGAATAAAATAAGAATAAATAAATATCTGAATGTCATGGAAATGGTGCCTCATCTTTCTCTTTTGGGCCATTGAACATTTCACTTCCCTCATCTTCTTCAGCCCCAAAAACAAGATTATTTCATTGTCTCTGGTTCAGGAGTGTCTTAAATTAAAAAATGTGGAAGTTTTAGGTAATATTTAAACTTTTGTAGGTGTGGTGGCTTATTAAATCTCCCCCAAAGTGGGATTTGCTTCACAATCCTCTCAAGGTTGTTTTTCCTTCCACTCAACATTCCATCTGCTTTCCTACGGCATTCTTACTTTTTGGTCTTTTACTATTATATCCCAGTTTTCTAAGAAGCTGAACTTTGGGTTTTCATCCACTGTCAGCCTTAATCCTCAAGGGCTGTTTTTTGAACTGAAACTACATTTTTGTGGTTTTCTTCAGCATTATGTAGAAAAGGGTGCAAAATATTTCACTTACAAGATAATCTGTGACTTTTATCTTTTATTCTGCATCATTCTCAGATTATACAAGGAGACACATATGTGAGAGAAGTAAAACTTTAAATCTCTGTTGCAGATGGGTGATTAAAACAACATGTAAACTGTTGGAATAGCAGACATTTAAGGGCTTCAATAATGTAAAACCACAGATATCTCTCATGAACTCCAAAAAAGACGTCAAAAGTCAAGAAGAACATCTTTCTAAAACATTTCCAAGTGCTGCATTACTTGAACCAAAGTAAAAAGTGAACATGATCCAAAGAATGAGGGTGAATTTCAGAAATGTTGTCCTTCCGGTAACTTGATCTGTCAGAAGTCTGTGTTTCTTTACCTGGGGAGGTGAACTTTGAACTGGAGGACCTGGGCGAATGGGAGCGACAGGAGCCACGTCTTTTGCTTCTGGACTACGACCGCTTGAAGAATCGTCACCTGAATGTAAAAACATTTAAAAAGCCATTACATAGACTGTAGTAAAACCAAAAAAATCATGTTTTTTTCTTTTTTGTATACTCTCTGACCCACCATTGGGAACACTTACAAAACAGAAAGTCATGTTCCCGCGTTTTGAAACAAGATGAATGTCAGAAAACGAGGCAAAATAAAATTCAGTCAGAAATAACAGTAAAGAAAAAGAATAAAGAACCAACTAACTGCCTGCTTGTGTAAAGGCCAACTGATGGGTGCCGTTACTTTTGTAACTGCTGTTAAAGGTCTATGCTTTTATTTTGGTAGCTTTCTTTATAAGGTTGCTATGGTAACAGAACACAGTTCTAACTGAGAAAGTTAATGGCAATAAAACAGCAAAACTGATAAAACGCAACTTAATTTCTTAGCTTCGGTCAATAAGGGAACAGGGTCAGTAGTGAAGTTTATTTAAGTATCTTAAAATGTTTTTGGAAAATTCTGTGAAAAATGAAACGAATCGTGAAAATGGTTGTAATTTTTAAAAAATTTGTTTCTATCCTCTCTCTCACAACAAGGGATTCTGTTGCCTAGCAACTGATTTGCCCAATAGGATGAGAGCTGGTGAAACTTTTCTCAGCCAAAGAAAAGCTAGTTTCAGTTGTTTAGCGTGTGCGCTTCTGTAACGACGACAGACAGCTGCATCTTCCTCATCTGGTGCAGAAACAAAGATTTGACAGGGAGCAGAAGTTTTGAGCGTAAGCATTGCAAATTTTGAGAACAAGGACATGAAATCCTGCTCTTAAAATAGAAATGTAAGCTCTTGATTTTTGGCAGTTAAATTCTCCCATAGTATGGCAAATATTAGCCTTTCTAGAATATAACAGAGCAAAAAAAAAACAAAAAAAAAAGCGCATCAGCAAATACTACTTTTAATGTCAAACTAATAACTAACATGAGAGTAAATAGTTTAGGTTGTGGTAGAAATTTTAAAAAGATCTGGAAATACTAACCAGGATGTCATACATAAATTGAAACACTGGTCAGAAATAGCCAAAAATGAAATAAAATAAAATAAAATAAAATAAAATAAAGGCATAAAAAAATCACTAATGGAGAAGGTTGAAAAACCCAACATGAAACGTAACTTTTATATTCAATTAACTTTGACAGAAACAAACTATTAAAATAATGCATGTAGATTTTACACAGCTTCACCACTAAACAACTTTATGCTTCAGCACAGCTAGATGCATTCCTGTAAACACTGGTAACACTAAATCCAACAAATATTTTTTCAGTAAATCTCGACAAAACAAGATAATTACCGCCATGTGTCTTTATCTCTGCAGAGTCTATCTTTTATGGAGCTAAAACCTGTCAAGTAAAGAACATCTGCTGCTGTAAAAAACAAATCCTGATTTGTGAAAATGTTTTCTATTTCTGTTTCTAGTCTTCTGATTGCACAAAAAAATCTTGCACAACTGAAAGTTGTTTTGTTGCTGCTAAAACATGAAGGATTTATGGATCTCACCCCAAACACCCACAGGCTGATAGAGCGCAGCAGATACATAAACACACACACACAGATGTTCAGAATGTTCCTTCATTTACCTGGTATGCAGCTAAAGTGAAACAGCTACTTTTTTAAAATGAATGTGTGTGTTGGCAGCGGTCCATGTCCCTTCTGGGAGAAACTCAGGTAAATGGCTTGATTACAGCGGGAGAGAAAACAACGGTGCTGCTGGAAAAGAGAGCTCAACACACACCCACACACATTCACGCAGCGACATTCCTGTGTTCATCTGCGCTGTCCAAAATGCACTCACACAGCAGGCTGCCTCTTTCTTTCTAATATCTTGGTGACATACGCAGGCGTGCACACACCTGCTCAGGGAGAAACCTGATTCTGTCTGTAACAATACACATTGTCTCGCTGCACAATGGACAAAGAGCCAGTTTCAGTCGCAAAGGAATGAGGGAGGGGGCTTACATATTTACAGTCACTCTGGCAAATATTATGTCTTATTTTATTAAAGGATACTAAAATGATAATAGCTGGAAGAGTACATTTCTGCCAAAACTCTAAAGTTTTGAGATTAATCTCAGAAAGTTTCTAGAAATAAAGGAAAAGTCAAAAAATCTGCCATAAAAAAACTCTCAAATCTTTAGATTAACCTCAGAAGAAAAAATACTTCTTGGACTCTGAACCTTTCTAAAAGCAAAAAAAAAGAGTAACTTTTGAAACTTAGAAATTTCCAAGTTTTTTCTAGAAAATGATTGAGATTAAACTAAAAATTTCTGAGGTTTTCTGGTGGACATTTTGGCAAGAAAAACAGAAAATTTCCAAAAGTCAAAAATTTGCAACTTTTCAAACTAAGAAATTTCCAATTAGAAAATTACAGAGATAATTCTAAAAAAAAAATAAATAAATAAATTGTTGGTGGAAATTTCAGAGCTCCAAAGGTCGGAAATTTGCAAGAAAAAAAAAAAACTGAGAAATTTCAAGATCTTTATGAGAAAAAAACTTTGAAATGCCTGAACTCAAAAAATTCCAAAATTTTTAACTTTTGAAACTAAGAAATTTCCACGTTTTTTTTTTCTAGAAAATTTCTGACATTAATCTTGGAGCTCAGATTTTGGAAAGTTTTTAGCAGAAGTTTACTCTTTTTTTCTACCTATAATGGCCTTAACACAGCATCATATAAAACAAAAACATTGCAGTACGCATGAGGGAAGATATGGTTTTATTTTAATTTATGCAGATAATTAAGAGGATTTAGTTAGACCAGTTAGGTATCTTTCATTTACTGCCTTAGAAAATTTCCTTTTCTTTCAATTAGGACCGAAACTTCAGTTTCTTCAGTCTTAGTGCAGTTTTATTTTTTTCTCAAATATAACATCACTTTTGGCATTAATACACACAGATGAGCATCATCCCGTCATTAATCCATTAATCAAAAACCATCTTTTGCAACCATGGCAGGTATTTCTCTATAAGTTCCCAGAATGTTTAATTTTTGATCATTCTTCCAGAAGTGCATATGTAAGGTCAGACACTGATGTTGGATGAGAGGTCCAGGCTCAAAATTTTCACTCAAAGTTATTCCTAAAAAATGACATGACAAAGCCTACGAGTAGCTGTTTACACTTTTTCTTCGTTGTTCTCATCGGTTTTAAATACGTTTTGGTCTTGCAGGTACCAGAGGGATGATAATGGGTGCAATATGGAGATGTGTGCCCCTTTCTCCAGCTAAATATGTCTGGAGAAAACCTGGACTGTTTCCTGCAGATATCTGGTAAAATCTCTGGTTGATATGAAGCGCTTCGCAGCTGCACTTCTTTTCATTTCATGCAAGTTGTTTTTTTAAAATTGAATATCAGATAAATTATTTTTCATAAGTCACAAACTTTCTCTAAAATTAAAATTGCGAGGTTTGTTTCCAAGCAACAAAGCAGAATAGATGACCTACAGCATAAAGACTAAAAATATGCACACACAGACACGGAGAGAGGAGGCAGGTGATGAAGAATGTCACTGAATCCATTCATGGGGTACCATAACCTTTACTGCAATGAATCACATGCATCTGTTGAAGTGAGAGCAATAATAAGAACTCAGGAGTGACATTTGAAGGACCCTGTCAGTGAACTGAAGAGCTGGGCAGCTTACATCCAGGTCAGGGCTATAACAGATAACATGAAGGTTTCAGCATTGTTCATGTCTTGCAGGATGTGAGCAGCACAGCCGCTCCATTCATGCACGGTTTGCATCCCCACAGGAGCTGAGCTGACACTTTACAAGGACTGACACAAACGGTAACAGCTTTCTTTCTGTGGGGGTTTTAAAGGAGCAGCTAGAAAAAGCAAACAGACAGTGATCCATCACTCTCCAAGCAGATATATCTGCTTCAAGAGTGGACTGTAGCTCAAATACTTATAGAAAATAATAACAACGTGAAAATTGAGCAGGATTTGGAGCAAAGTGTCCATTCATGGGTGACAGTTTTACTTGGGAGGAGGAGGAACATAAATCATAAAGCCAAATGTTTACTAGATTGCTGCTCCTCTGGCTCATGCCCTGCCCCCTACCAATGCCACCACACATATTAATTACCAAACGTATTATTCTGCAGTCTTACAGTAGCTTTAACATATATGAATACTGAACAAAGCCTAACTACTTTCAACTTAATGCTATAACAACTTGTTCTGAGCGCACCTGGAAAAAAAGAGGCCGTTTTATTTTTTAATCGGATGGGATCCACTTTTCACTTCTGATACCGATACAGATATCTGAGGTTTAGTATCGGCCGATATCGATCCAATGCCGAAATACAGATACATTTACCTAAAACTTTTCTTTTTTGTCAAACACAGACATAAATGTACTGAACTGCAAATTTATTTGATAATGTAAAACCAAACCAACAGCTTCACAAGCTTAATCAAACATGTAAAAGCAACTTTAATTTGTTCAGTCAGTGCAATTTACAGTCAATGTGAAATAAATAATAGAGAAACCGAAACTGATAAAAACAAAAGGTTGATTAGTCAAACATGTAAGAAATAAGCTGCAACAAACCTCCTTTCAAATGGTTTAGAAAGTGCAGTGACAAACTCTAAAGTTACTGTAAAATAAATAATAAAGCATAATGTGGATCAGCACAAAGCATAGAGTTAGACTGAATAGATCTGTCCTGATGGATCAGCCTCATTGTCACAATACACAATCTAGAATTTAGTTTTTTTTTTATTATCTGGACCGACACAGATTTTAATGTCAGACCCAAACATTTAAGACAAGTAAATCACATCTGAACCAAAAAATAAATAAAAAGAACTAGTACACATGTTTAATGTCATGTGTATGCAAAAATATAAAAACTCATATTCTCATTCATTACTGTGGTGTTTTAGGTGATTTCTTGAGTTTATGAAGATGAAAACAGGAAACAAAAGTTTGACTTATAAAACATGTGGACAAGGACTCAATTAGGTAAATGTGTTAGTTATTATCATATTATAATGT